TCATGAATAGGTACAAACGGGCGTCACAAGTTCCGGAACCTAACATTGGGGACATTGTTTTGATTAAAGAAAATGATTTGCCGCCAAGTCGTTGGTTATTGGGTCGAGTTATAGAGAAACACCCCGGTGATGATAACGTTACCCGTGTGGTCAAATTGCGCATGAAAACATCAGTTATTAAAAGGCCAACATCAAAATTATGTATTTTACCTATAGCAGATCCATGAATTGTTTACTTTTTATGTCAAATTTATGTAAAATATTGTTATATTAAATGTTTACCTACTTTTTCATTTACGATAACATGTATTAGATAAGTTTAGAATTACTACCTCTTAGTTTATGAAGTTAATTTGTTATTAAGTACTCAGTGCAAAGGGCATTGCCCATTTTCGGCCATGGAACGCCCAACTATGTGCATTTGTTAAAAAATATATCTTTATTTATGGTTATTAATCGCGGCATTCATTTATCCTAAAAAAGATGGGAATATTTTTGCACAAATTAAAAGTACCGAAAAGATAAGAATAAAATTAGGTAAATCATTAATTCATTAGTTTGTGAATAAAATAAAAAGTGTTGCCAATCACAAATCTCATTAAAAATCGATTCCCCTTTTTGATCTATTACTTATGGTGTCATTATTACAATGCTAATATAATTTTTCGATAATTATTATGATGTTACGATATATATTTAAAAGGACCGTTGACAATGGATATTTATCCAAAGCAGCCGATACGCAACCGTTATCAACCAGTTGTTTATCCGACTACAGACGAAAAAGGATGGTTATGTTTTTACTGTATGTGCGGGTTAGGCTATGTTGAATCGTTTTTTGTTATGGTGCTTAAAAACGTAGGATGCATTTTATTATAGAGGGCGCTACTACCAAAGTAAAATACTTGACCAACTTTGAGAATTCTTTCACCACTAGATTGTTATGTATAATTTTAGATATCTAATATAGGATGAATTTTATTATAGAGGGCGCTACTTTCAATGAATACGTTTTTGGGCTAATCTCAAAAATTACTAGACCTATTTTGAAAATTCTTTCACCATTACATTGCTAATGAGGGCATTAGTTGTGTGATAAAATTATATTATTACAATAATTAATTGTGAGATTAATATTTTCTAAATAAATAAAACTAAATACCTACCTAAGATGTTCAAATCCAATTATTATTTTTACAATTTAATAATCGTATTTGCACACTTTACTTACTCAGATTGATTATTATAGATAAAGATGTAATAAATCTAAAGTAAAAGAGCTCCGCTTAAACGAAAAAACTATTTATTAAAATAAAACTAAAAGTTGAAAAAAAAAACTGGTTCAGTGCGAGTCGGACTCGCAGACCAAAGAGTATAATAAGTATATACAGGAAAAGAGAGCCCTGTGACGACATTTTATTGCAGACAAAATTGAACTACTAGCGCCTCCTACAAATTGAATCCGAACTAATTCGCTATATATAGCTCTACATATTATACCTCTTCTATAGTAGTAAAATGTATAATATTGTTCGTATAAATACTGGAACAGTTTTACTGCCTACTTTTTTGTAATACTGTTTTTGATATTATTAAAAGTAGGTAAAACAGTTTCAGTAAGTACACTGGTATTTATGGGGTATTTGCAATGAAACAAGAAAGATAACGATGAGCACACGCAAAAAGTAGCCACCATTTTGACTTTCATTTTCGTTTGAATATTTGACGTTTTGAAGTTTAGGGTGGCCAGTATCATAATTATCATAATCGATTGATTTCATGATGTTTAAGTTTTTATTTTATGTGAAAATAATATTATTTTCACATAAAATAAAAACTTAAATTTATCGTGCATTTAATTTTATTTTTAAGCTAATTTTAGTTTCTTTTTAAAAGTAGCGACATCTGTGAAGACCTTAGACCAATAATAAACATAATGTTTTCGGAAACGAATTATGGATGGCGCTACCTTCAATTGAATTCTTGTGGTCCAAGGCAACTGTCCTACCCCTGTCGCAGACCCATGAAGAGTTCTGTAGTAACAAGCACATATTTTAAATCAAGTCAAAAATACCACTATCATTATCGCCAGCAACAAATTATTTTGTTTTTCATCGTTTTTGTGTTAATAACAAAGTTGTTTTTGCGGTTCTTTAAAATGTGCTACTTGTATCTAAAAAAAAAGGACTATTATACATTGTAGGGGTTTCTGTGCTTTATTCATTACCAAAGAGAAAAAACTTATTGCACAAAATGGGGTTTTATCCATTTCAAGTCATCAAAAGCGGTAGTCAACCGTTAAAAACAAAAACAACCGTTGTTATAGGCTCGGTTGAAATCGATGACAACCTTCACATTTATAGTTATGATAATTAAACAAGCGAATTACTACCTGATTTGCCAAGAATTCTTTAGAGTATAACAAAACGCTACTGCACAATTTAACTGTTATTCTTATCTATTCTTAACATAACATTTAAAATGAAATTATGTTATGATAATTCAAGAAGTTAATTTCTAGCTGATTTACCATGAATTCTCTAAAGCATAACAAAACAATACAGCACAAGTTAACTGTTCTTAACTGTTTTTTTTGAAGGCCATTCCGTCACTAAATGTCCTTGGTGGGCGGTATGTTTATATACTTATACGCCAGTATATTCCAAATTTATGAAGAAAACATATTTTTGAATTTTAAAAAAGATTTAGTTCTTTTTTTGAGAAATGAAGTTGACGTTGTTATATCAATTTTTATTATAAAAGGCACTGAAAATATAGTTAAAATATATAGACCAAATTAGATCATACACTGTTGCGGATCGTTTTATTTACCAACAACCCTTCTAGTGTATCAGCACGACAACAGGTCAACTACATTGGTCAACTAGTTAAGCTAGTTAACAACAACATTGTATCAGATGACGAATCCTGGATATAGGCGTACGAACCCGAAACAAAAAACCAGTCACGAGTTTCGGTGTTCGAAAATGAGTTAAAGCCAACAAAAATTGTTCGTTCACGGAGTATTGGAAAAAAAATGGTGGCCACGTTTATCTCCAAAACCGGCCATGTTACGACTATTCCTCTTGAGGGAAAACAGAAACAAAGAACGGTTAATGCAGAATGGTATGCTAGCATTTGTTTGCCACAGGTCGTTTCTGAACTCCGTAAAGAGAACTGCAACCGCCGCATCATCCTCCATCACGACAATGCGAGTTCTCACAACGCACACAGAACAAAAGAGTTTTTAGAGCAAGAAAACATAGAATTATTAGACCATCCGCCGTACAGCCCCGACCTAAGCCCTAATGATTTCTATACTTTCCATAAAGTAAAGAATAAATTGCGTGGACAGAGATTTTCATCACCTGAAGAAGCTGTGTACGCCTAAAAAACGGCCATTTTGGTGACCCCAACTTCCGAATGGAATGGTTGCTTCAATTATTGGTTCCATCGTATGGAAAAATGTGTCAAATTTCGCGGAGAATACTTCGAAAAGCAATAAATACATTTTTAAATAGTAATGTTGTGTCACTTCCTTTATTCCCGAAATTTTTAGTGCCGCCCTCGTAATCATAGTAACCGCGACAGACGCGAACTCATTAACATAACATTTACATTTAACACTATTTAACATATTTTAATCTAAAATTTTTTACTTATTTATTAAACCGTTTTTACATAAAATTTAAATTATTATTAAACATATGTCCATTACCCGAACAATAGTATAATTATATTTCAATGATGTCCAACGATATCGTCGTATGCATAAAAATAATTTTTGAAATACTAAGTTTAGTATAAATTTGAACATTAACGTTAACATATTATTTGTTTTTGTTTAACAATAATTAAAAAAGCTGAAGGTACACCGGGTTTAACAATGACATCGGGACGTCAGTCATCTTCTCAGTCCCCCGTGACCATGGGTGCTGGAAAGCGCCCGAAACGTCGGGAATTAAAAATAAAAGTAAAATAAACGCGATAAAATCCGTAAAAGTAGTTTTAATCAATTTGCTTATATGTATTAAAATTGTGAATCAGTGAACTTTATGTATTTTAAATAAAAGCTTATATTTGTGGAACGTTAATTTTACAAGTGCAACGGGGTAGTTAATTAATAGTATGTTATTTGGTAGTCTGAGTAATTCTGGAACAGTATTCTTAGATTATGCAATTATTTCAGTCTGTAGAAACGCCCATTAAGTTAATTGTGACAATAACGCCTTCTTACATCTCTGATGTAAAGTGTTATAAGTAAAATTTACTTTTTTTAAATAAATTTATCCTTATTTGAAATGGATCGTCGTCGACAAACATAGCCTATCGGTTAGGGCGGCGATATATGCGTTGGGCAACTTCCTCAAGTTTCTAGTTCAAGCCCCGAATACAAATAATTAGAATCTTTAATTTGTTTTTGTCTTTTATTTATGGTTTGTATAATTTTGTGATGGACTTTATTATGCTCTTATGTACAAAATAAAAGAACTAATAGTAAATTTTATGTTTCTTTGTTTTAATTTTCTTTTCAGTTAATAATGTGTAGATTTAGCTAAATATTAAGGGCTTACTTAGTTTAGTGTTAAGATTATTGTAGATTATGTTTAAAAATTATCTAGTTCTTTGCTTTGAGGTGGCTTTATTGTAGCCTTTTGTGTTGCTTACAAATATCTTACACATTTACACATTTGTTTCTTGTCTTACCCGGACCCCGATCCCCATGGCTTGAGTATGCCATGACGGTATGTAGAGTTTTATCGCAGTGTGTGGATATAACTACTATGGTGGTAAGACGCGGTGTGTAGTGGTCGGTCGCGGTGTGTGGTGGTAGGTCGCGGTGTGTGGCGGTAGATCGCGGTATGTGGTGGAAGTTCGCGGTGTGTGGTGGTAGGTCGCGGTGTGGTAGTAGGTCGCGGTGTGGTGGTAGGTCGCGGTGTGTTGTGGTCCTACGTGGTGTGTGGTGGTAGGTCGCGATGCGGTGGTGCGTGTGCACTGACCCGGGACGCCCCTGAGCAGCGAGCGCCAGCACGCCGTGCCTGCGGCTGAACACTAGCGGCACGCCGTCGCACAGCGCCGCGCCCAGTATGCGGTCACCCTCGGACGACACCGAGATGCACTCTGCCTTTTCGCTGCTGCCCACGCCTAAGGGACCGAAAAGGGCATTCATTTCAACGGTTCGGAAGCTTCTTTACTGCATTCATACGTTCGAACACTATAGTCAACCAAATCTAAGAAATACATTTTGACAGCTGTTAGACTTGCCACATTGAAACATGCCAACCAAAAATTGGGAATGTACAATGTTCGATTCATAAAAAAATCGATATCGATTATTTAGAGTTGGTAATCATTTACAGTTTGGTTTGAATAATACCAGAATAAATTAGAAACGGGTAATTTAAAATACAAGATTTATCGGTTTCTTTGTAGTTTTTGTTACTGCTTATTTCTAGAGGCAAAGTTATAAAAATTTAAGATGCAAACTAAGTTAAAAATAAATGAATCAATCACTTTTAGTACAATTAGCTGAGCTGTCTTTGTTTAGATTAGTTATTATTTGATTTTCAATAATGCACTCAAAATTAATGTCTCTTTCAAAGTCATCCACTATCAACTTTTTTGTTTTTAAGCTATTGCGTAGCTTTTATCACGGGCTTTGAGCGCGGCGACCGAATCAAGAAATTCCGTAACGAAAAAAAACTAAGACCCAAAAACCTAACATCGTCTAACGTCGCGTCGTTTAAGTTCGACAGACTTCGGCAAGGTGTTTGTGTGCGTGCTACTAGACGTAGTATGCGTGTAGACTAGTTGCATGTATTGTAAGATAATAAAAATATTTTAGACAATAATATAGCAATATATTATATATTAATAAGCATATTCTTTGGATTTATATGAGTCGTCGTCATGCTAGCAACTTTCGTGAATTTAAAGTTTTTAATAAACACAAACTTTAAAGAAAATTATCGTTTGTCGGAAGAACTCGTTAATTACCATAAACCTATAGTTTCAATGATAAAAACTCCAGAATAACCTACATGTATTGTAAGATAATAAAAATATTTGAAACAATATTAACTTCTCATTTATGAAATAAAAGAAAAAAAAACTGTTTTCTTATCGGTCACCACGCTCAAAAAGTGTAACTTGATTTATATCAAAGAAAAAAACAAAGAAAAAAATACTGCATTAATAAAATAAATAAACAATTATAATTGCATAAGTTGATAATATAAACAAAATACTATGCAATAGAATTACCGCGGCAGTCCCTAAGTGCCACACGTATTTTTTTCTACCACTTTTGCCCAATCATCCTATGTAACATGGGCACATGCTTCAAAGAATATAGAAGAAACAGTCCAAACAGTTAAAGCCGAGTCACAAAATAAGAAGTCTAACACAAAACTATGCACAGTAAACTCTCGAAACAGAAACAGAAGACTTTTTTATTAAATATAGATTGTGAATAATACTTATTGAAAGTCACTTTTTTCATTTACCACTGGTTCGCAAAAAAACCTCTTTCCTGGGAAGAACCAGCAAGATACCCAACGGGACTAGTTTTAAAAAAAAAGAGCTTATAATCATGCGTGTTACAATTAACAAAAAAACACAAATTAGAAACAGCTTGGTAGTGATCACCCTTCCCAGGGGTTATCATCATCCATAAAATCCTTAATATTAAAATAACCCTTTTTATACAAACTTAGTTTGATAAAGTTTTTGAACTTTGTGTACTTACGTCAAATTTTGTATATTTTTTGGGATTTTGTTCTAAAAGTGTATATACATCGCCCCAAGAATGAATTACTGACTCTATGATCTCGCATAGCTGCTACAGTGGTGCTAGAGAGGGATACGCACCGGGCACGAGTGCGAGCGTGTGCGCACAGTAGAGCAGCACACGAGCAGGCAGCGGCAGGCAGCGGGGCGGCACGTCGCGCAGCGCCTGCAGCACTTGCAGCGGCTGCAACGGCTGCACCGACACCACTCGCGGGCTCGCCGCCTGCGACACGTCCACGTGTGCTGCAAGCACCATAACCATCTTGTTATTAGAAAAGAAAGACAGCAGTAAAAAATATATTAAAATAAAATTTAAACCACATACAGAAAGTTAAGGTAGTTGCGGTTACCTCACTTGATGGTAATACACTGATAGTTAGTTTATTATATTACAAGTAAGTTCTATTTATGCAGCGTAAGTGGACGCGTGTAAACAAAAATTGACAGTAGTCAGGGTACAACACAACAGTACTTGTACATTACCAACATTCAAAACCACGAATGTGATAAAGAATATAAGTATATATTTCAATAATAAATTGCAGCCACTTTAACGGCACAATTGTCATGTTGATTTTGCTCAATGACTGATTGACTGAGAATCCTACATAGCGATATCATATCCTCCGTAGCGGACACTTGCCCACTGTTTTTACCTAATGTATAAATAAAATTTATAAATGATTTTGCAAACATATGCATAGCAATTGCCAGCTAACAAGCGCCTTGTTATGTTTGACAACTAATAAAATATAACACTCGAAATAAATCAATACACTAACAATACACTTACCAATTGCATATCTTTTCTCAGGCGATCTGGCGACATTGACCGATGCAATAAGCAGCAGGATACTGTTTGGACCACTTGCATGGACATCTAAGGCCATTATCTCAAGGCTGTTTGGATCACCTGTGAAATATAATTTTATAACATTTTAGATATTTTTTACATAACATTAAAAAAGATAAAAGCTATTATAGTCAACCAAATCTAAGAAATACATTTTGACAGCTGTCAGACTTATTGCACCAAGCATGCCAACTAAAAATGGGAACGTACAATACTCGATTCTTAAAAAAATCTATATCGATTATTTAGAGTTGGTAATCATTTACAGTTTGGTTTGAATAATACCAGAATAAATTAAAAACGGATAAAACACAAGATTTATCAGTTTTTTTCGTATTTGTTGTTACTGCTTATTTCTAGAAGCACAGTTATAAAAATTTAAGATTGAAACTAGATTAAAAATAAATTCATTCAATCACTTTCAGTAAAACTAGTAGAGATGTCGTTGTTTATATTAAGTATTATTTGATTTTCAATAATGTAGTCAAAATTAATGTCTCTTTCAAAGTCATCCATAATCATTTTTTTTTGTTTTTTCTACCACTTGCTTGCTCAATCATCCTTTGTAACAAGGGTACATGCTTCGACGAATATATTTTTTATAGCATTGGGTGACAAACGAGCACACAGTCCACCTGATGGTAAGAGGATGCTATGGCCCATAGACATACATATTTATCCTTAATTAGGAATCAAAATGCAAATGCGTTGTCATCTCAGAGGATTAAGATGGAATGCCTCGATTCCAGTAAAAAGGGTCTCCGGTACTCTACACTCACCATACGAAACACAGCAGCATTACTCTGCTATTTACGCTGGTATTCTGTGAGAGCGTGGTCCTGCCCCGATTGAGCCAACCCAGTCGTGCTACAACTATAATATAGATGTAGCGTGGCTCTACCACGTACAAAAAGTTAATACATAAGAAACAGTCCAAAAAATTAAAGCCGAGTCACAAAATAAGAACACAAACACAAAATCACAAAATTACGCACAGTAAGCTCCCGAAACAGAAACAGAAACTTTTTATTCAATATAGATTATGAATAATACTTGTTGAAAGGCACTTTTTTTCATTTACCACTGGTTCGCAATAAAATACTCTATCCTGGGAAGAACCAGCAAGATACCCAACGGGACTAGTTTAAAAAAAATAAGGGCTTACAATCATGCGTGTTAAAATTAAAAACACAAAACAAATTAGAAATAGCTTGCTATAGCTATCACCCTTCCTAGGGGTCAGTATCATCCATAAATTCCTTAATATTTAATAAAGTTTTTAAACCTTGTGTACTTACGTCAAATTTTGTATATTTTCTGGAATTTTGTTGTAAAAGCGTATACATCGCCTTAAGAATGAATTACTGACTCTGTGGAGTCGAGTAACTGGTACCGAAATGGCGGGATATTGAAATTATGTAGTGGTTATTTTAGCACGGTCTTGTATATGAGTTTTTTTGTCTACACAAATTTACTTTGACAAAGTAAAAAAATAAACTTGTTTTATTCATGATTCATGTAATTTAAGGAATTTTGAAAATAAAAATTAAATTAAACAAATAATACATTAAAAAAAATTAATGATTCGATTATTTAAAAATATTTACCGATTATTTGAATATTTTGCCGATCATTCGCATAACAGTGAATTTTAATCATCCAAACACTACGGTAATATACATAGCGACATATCATTGAAACGACGTCAAATAAAAAAAATGATTCTACTGGTTATTTTTTAATATTTTGCTTTGTTTGAAAAATTCAAGTTTAAATTAGTAATAAAAAAACTATACACGTTGTAATGAAATATAGATAACTTCATAATTCTTCGGATTTACGTAAAAGATTATTTTAAATCGTGTGAGTACGCTGCTGCAAAGTTATTGCGGAATGATTAACGTGAAACGTCAAAAGGTATTTCTTAGATTTGATTGACTATAGACCACTAAAGTAAATTGGTTAGTTGATTAAGATTATATGCTAAGCTAAGTTACAGGTGTCAACCTGAGAAGAATATATAGTAATTACGAGATTTTGTACTGATGCTTTTAACTCAAACGATAACGCACTAATACTAATAATAATAATAATGAGTTGAGTCAGTTTAGACAGGTATTATCAGTTGCATCTGCTATAATCATTGTATTTTAATTCTTATACGTAAAAATCAATGCATGTATAGCTTTTTGTTCAAAGCAGACAGCAGAATGATTATGGGTTACAGCACAAATATGTAACACAATGGTTTGTTAGATCGTTTTTCACTCATTATTGTCATCCTTATCATTACAGCCCATCACAAGTTCACAGCTGAATAAAAACCTCCGCCGCCCTCGCCCTCCTTTGAAATACCACTTTAACTTGCTGATTTGATGGGTTATGCGGATTACGATATGTCGACTGCGAATATCTTCATTACAAAGTCTATCGCACAGAGAATCTCCAAGCTAAACTATCAACATAGTTCACTGAACCTTAAGCTTTATCATACGGCTAGCAGTGAAGGTCCACATCGTAACTCTGTATATCACCAGTGGAAACGTGAAATAGGTGTACACAGCTTTTCAAGTTAGAATGTGTGTTAATATTATAAAAATTGTATATAAAAAAGATGTCTCAATTTATTTAATTTCTAGAATTGTACAAGTTTTCTTGCAGTAGGTACTTGGTGACGCCATGTTGTAGGCTTATATATAGAAAAAATATCGATGTACAATATTTTTTGTTCGATATAAAATATCACATATCAAAAATGTATCAAATACGATATATTTTCAGTCGCGAAGTCGTTGTTGCCACTAACTACAACCAGTACAATTCAGATCATCCATTAATTCATTTTCGCAGACTATTGTAATTGGACACACAGCCGCCATTTCACGAAAGTCCTGTCACAGAGCGCTTAAGCACTTGGTACCTACTGCATACTCAGTTTAATCAGGGAATGGCATCAGATGTTAATGTTAGAGTACCCCAATAACAGAAGCGGACTTTCAGCAGAGCACACCAAACAAAATTAAAGGTTTTCTTTTGTTTCTTTGGCTTAAAAAGCATTATATTTTTATCAATGTTTTATTAAGCTTATACTACCTCAGATGGCTTAGCAAGATCCTCTGTTATGCCGAAAATACTGCAGCATTGTTTTTGAAATAAATATATGGTGAAGTTGAGGATTAATGTTAAGTACTATGTTAGACGAAAACAAGATTCCATAAAATTTTCTCGATAGGAAAAAATCCAAAGTTACCTCCAAACCGAACTTTAAATCTTTATCTTCAAATTACATCATGAAATTTTGCATACTAACTGAACTAATTATAAAGCAGAGCTTATGTTTTTTAATTATCATTATTTTCACCGTAAAAAGAAATTACCTAAACTATTGTCGTTTTAAAGTTTGTTCCCTGCCGCCCGACACCACCATTCACTCTGGCTTCGGCTTTTGAACGGGAGGGCTGTGTCGCTTACGCTCAGAACCCACATTATGCAACAGGACCACGTAAAATTAAAATAGATACTTAGGTTTAAAGTGTTGGTGCAATGGGAAATAAGCGTAATAAAAATAAGAAGCGATTGGGTTGGCGTAAAATAACGGGCAAACGTATGGTAAACGTAATGAAATAAGTATCTACCGATCTATCAACTTACAGTATTAGTGATTACAAATATTATGTAGAATTTAGCATATGAACACGTTTGGTGCAGTGGCTATGCAAGTGGTTGCTGCGCTACTAGTCACAGGTGTTTCTGTATGTGAAGGTTTGTGTTTGTAAACACACCGTTCACGATTCAGGAGAAATCGAGCGTGGGGCAACTTTATGAATAAAAAGTTACCTAAATATGTTTGTTTTTGTTTTGTCAATATTCAACAAAATATAGCTATCTATGTTGCCCCACTCCAGGATTTCTCCTGAATCGGAGACAGTGCCATTTTTTCACAACTACCTGTAGGCCATAAACATATTTGTTCCGTATGGGAATCGAACCCCCGACCCGTAGTGCAAAAGCCAAGCACTTAGTATTAAAAAAATATAAGTGTGTTCGGTAAGTACCTATCTAACTATAAAGAAATAAAACTGTATCTTACTTATCCATCCTTACGTTATCGTTACTCCGTGGCGCATTGGCTTAGCAATGAGTTGCTGCGCTGGAGTCCGTGGGTTCGAATCCCGCACGGAACAAGTATTTGTATGACCTACAAATAATTGTTCCGGATCTGGAGTTTTGTTTATATTTGTAAACTGCCTCCATGATACCGGAGAAAATCCTAGTGTTTTTCCTAACGTTTTTAAAATAAATAACGTATCCGACTATAGTGCTACCTACTACATAAGTACATAAAAATCATGAACCTATTGAGTACTGACGTACCTTGATAGTTTAGCTTTAGCTAAATTGTGAGTACGTGAGTATTTTCTACCTACCTAAACATGTAATATATATGTTATTAGTACACGTGGCTACATAATTATCAAACTACACGTTCCAGTATCTCAAATTGTAAACGCATTATGTACAATGAGAGGTCAGCTTATACTGGAATATCCTCTTATATGGGAAGGATCTACCCATTGTTAGTTTAGTAGTAAGCTTGAGTTTTATAGTTTTCGCTGTATATGTAATATGACAGCCGTTTACGTATGTAATTATGTTGGTAGCAGGTCTATGCAAGTACCTACATATACATACCTATATAAGAAATTTTGCAAACCGATTCTAAATCACTGCATAAATTCTACTGCTACAAAAAACTAGTCAAGCGCGAATCACCATTGCACTGAAGTTCTGTAGGTACATTGGCTTGATATAGGGTTGCTAGGCGTCCGGATAAAGCCGGACAGTCAGGCTTTTTGATTGCGTGTCCGGCCATATTAGACGATGTCCGGCCTGTCCGGCTTTTGTCAGGCTTTTTATATTTAACCATTTTTTACATTTTTCATGTACTTAAATACATACTATTTCAATTATTGAAATTAATATTGTAATAAATATTGAATGATTAATAATAAAGAACACTGATTCATTTAATTTTAATTTAAGATTTTATGTTAAATCATATAAGTTTTGTTTTACTTTAAAAATATTCTATCGTTTTATACTAAGACTGAATAATTAAGGGTGTCCAGCTTTTTTACCAAAATGTCTGGCTAAGCTGGATGGTCTGTCCAGCTTTTCGGTTTAAAGACCTGGCAACCCTAGCTTGGTAGTAAATTTACGCTTTGCATTTTACCACCTTATAAACTTACAATATAGTTTTTTTAGTTATAAGAATTTGCCGTTAGTTATATAACGGCAAATTCTTATAACTAATAAGAAATTTCATTGTCATTGTACATACAATGAAATTAACATTGCGACATATAATTTTGTTCATATAATGACAAGTTAATATTATGACTGAAAACTTTATTACTTAGAGCTCGTCCGATAATAATTTATTTTACTCTAACAAAATCGCTTTGGCCTCGTGAGCCGCGTGACGCGCGTAGTATAGGCCGTTAATTAATTTATGATTTTACATTACTGTCACGTGATTATCAGATGATCATCATTACAGCCCTTCACAAATTACAGCCCTTCGTTTTTTTTTAAGGAATAAGAGTGACAAACGAGCACACAGTCCATCTGATGGTAAGTGGATGCCATGACCCATAGACATCTAAATCTATCTTCAATAAAGAATCAAAATGCAGATGTGTTGTTACCCCTGAGTACTAAGATGGAATGTCTCATTTCCAGTCAATGACATCTCAAGTTCTCTACACTCACCATACGAAACACAGCAACATTAAACTGTTATTTCAGGCTGATATTCTGTAAGAGCGTAGTCCTTCCCTGGTTGAGCTGGACCCGTTTGTACTATCTGCAGGTCAACTCTAACATGTATATAAATGACCACTTACTGGTATGAAGTTGCCATTCAACAACTTTTTGTCCTCATTTGTTGTATTTCCAATTGGTTGGTTCTTCAAGCTATATGGACAGGCCATTCCCATTTAAGCTTACTAATCCGTTCATTTAATTATTATTATCAATTAGTTTCAAGCACTTCTTGTTGGCTTCTAGGGTGGGTGGGTGTGGCAGTGTGAGGGTGTGAGTATGAGGCAGTGTGTGAGTGGGTATGTGGCAATGTATGTGTGTGTGTGTTTGTGTGTGTGTGTGTGTGTGTGTGTGTGTGTGAGAGAGAGAGAGAGAGAGAGAGTGTGAACGCGTGTATGTGCGTACCCTGCGGCGCGAGGTGTGCGCAGAGCGCGCGGCGAAGATGGTGCTCGTGCAGGTCGGCCAGCTCGGCACCGCGCCACAGCTGCAGCAGCGGCCCGCCCGCCACCAGCGCGCAGCACTCGCCCGCACCCTCATCCTCCCCCTCACTCGCACCCTCTCCCTCCTCACCACCAGCACACGCGCTCAGCATCACCACGCCCACCAGCCTCTGCAAACGCAATCCTTACACTTTCTTCGGCACTCGATAGCAATTAATGGCAAAAGTCGAATGCACAAAATGGACAAATAAAAATCAAATTTCACTGTGTTTACTTTTTAAAAATTAATGTGTAATAAGAAATCATTATCTATATGTTTTTTGCTTGAAGTATTTATTTGTTATGTATCTTACCATGTAGTCCACTCCACTACCCCATATTATCCCCATGGGTGTTGTCAAAAAGCGACAAAGGAAAACAAACCACGATATGTATGGCCTACAAATAATTTCCGCGTTGTTCAGAGTCTAGATTTACGTCCTTATGCATTTTAAGTATGTAAATTACCTCCATGATACAGGAAAAACTCCTATTTGTTAATATTGCCATCATTGTTCAAGAAAAGGAAGATCAAAGACGTGCAACAGTGCTTTTTTTTATAGGATAGGGTGACAAACGAGCACACAGTCCACCTGATAGTAATTAGTCGCTGTGGCCCATAGACATTTACATCTATCCTTGATTACGACTCAAAATGTAAATGCGTTATCACCCGTGAGGACTAAGATGGAATACCTCGTTTCCAGTAAAAACGGTCTCCAGTTCTCTACACTCACTATATGAAACAGAGCAGCATTAAGCTATTATTTGACGCTAGTATTCTGTGAGAGCGTGGTCCTTCCCTGGGCGAGCCGACCCATTCGTGATACAACTATAGTAATGATTTCTTATATTTATGCGAACACTACACATTGATTAAAACCACTTTTACGGAATTTATCGCGTTTATTTTACTATTACTTTTAATTCCCGACGTTTCGGGCGCTTTGTAGCACCCATGGTCACGGGGGACTGGGATGACTGACGTCCCGATGTCATTGTTAAACCCGGAGTACCTTCAGCTTTTTTAATTATTGTTTATGGTCCGATCTATGCAAAATGAACGACTATGTCCTGAGGTCTTGCAATGGTATGCTTGGATTTAGTTTTAATTTTATTGATTATAGGATCCCAAGCACGTGGTAGTACCCAGCCTCCTTCTCTATTGAAATTAGGATGTTTTTTTAATTTCAATAGCCTCACGTATCATCCTTGGTAGGAATCGGTGTTCTTTCGCGAGGATTTGTGGTCTATCAAATCTGATGTAATGGTTGGGGCCGTCTAGGATATGATCGCAAACTGCAGACTTCCCGGAACGTTGATGCTTCACATCAGCTATATGTTCTTTTACGCGGGTTCTAATTGATCTTTTTGTTTGTCCTATATAAGAGAGACCACATTCACAATCAAGCTTGTACACTCCTGGATTTTGTAGAGGAATATGACACTTGACTAATGGTAGGAACTGACTAATCTTCTTCGGCGGCTTGTAGAATGTTCTAATAGAAGGTCGCTTCAAGATGTAGCCAATCTTGTCTGTGACACCTCTGACGTATGGTAGTAGGTACAGCAGGCACACGCTCGACTGTGGCGGGCTTCACTCGGTCACTGTGACGTAGGCGCGGGACCCGAAGCTTGTTGTCGTGCAGAACTTGCTTGACGTGCTGGTGCTCGGCGGCCAGATATTTGCTGTCACAGATCCCTCGTGCTCTCTGTAACAAAGATTTGCCCACGGTAGCTAACTGTGAAGGATGGTGGTGAGATTCACCGTTTAAATATCGGTTTGTACGGGTCTTTTTCCTATACACAGTGTGACCAATGGCGTTGTTAGGATTTCGGATGACTAACACATCTCGGAAAGGTAAGGAATTATTTGCCTCTAACTCCATAGTAAATTGAGTTTATGGAATTAAGATGTTCTAAAAATGCAGTTACTTTGTCTGATGGTAAAATTGTGAAAGTATCGTCTACGTACCGCTTGTAGATCCTTGATGTAACAGGTGCAGTAAGGAGGGCTTTCTCCTCAAAGTCTTCCATAAATATATCGGCGACAATGGGAGATACAGGTGAGCCCATCGCAACACCATCTACTTGCTTAAAGCCAGATGTAAGGCAATGTCTGAGTAATACTGCATATTCTGCTGGCATATTATTTTCCTCTAGTTTCCTAGTTATAATTGAGATGCAGTCTTCAACAGGTAGGCATGTAAATAGAGACTGAACATCAAAACTGATCATGGTTTCATTGTCAGTAAGATGTAGGTCTTTTATCTCACTGACAAAATGGTATGAATCCTTAGTGTGTCCTCTGAGTGGTGATAATATTTTAGCTAAGTATTGAGCCAATCTGTAAGTTGGCGAATCAATCTGACTCACTATTGGACGTAATGGAGCGTTCGGTTTGTGTATTTCTGGTAACCCATACAACTTCGGTGGTTTGGCACATGAAGGTATTATCGAATTAACGTCCAGATTCAATTTCTCGGAGTATTTCTTAATTAGATCGCTAGTTGTTTTAGCGTATTAGTTGTAGGGTCTGTTTTGACCTTTCGGTATGTAGTTTCATCCGACAAAAGGTTGTATTTTAAAATTGTAATCTGACGTATCCATTATAACCGTAGCATTGTCTTTATCTGCGCGGAGAAGAGCTCTGGTCTGTTGCGTAAGTTTTTCAACGCGTTAAATTCATTTTTGGGAAGATTTAATTTCGGCGCTGAACTTCGACGTAACATAGACGAAATGTCTTGACGTATGGCCTCTAAATCTTCATTACCAATGTTATTTTTATACAGACAGTCCTCAACGCTACAGATATAATGTCCTCATACGGTATTTTTCTCGGTGTTATTGCGAAATTCATACCTTTTTCTAAAACTTTTATTGTGGCGTCGTCCAGTGTTTGTTTTGATAAGTTGTAGACAGCGCGTTGTTTATGATTCGTGTCTGTGGTCAACGATTTCGTATGTTGGACATTTGATTTAGTTGTTAATTTATGGTATTTATCAATATGTTTATTTTTGCATTCATTGTATTTAGTTGTTTCGCGTTTATCTAAAGTTTCCATGCAATTTTTATAATCAAATGCCGATAAAACTGTCTTTAATTCACTGGACGAATTGTCTATGGTTTTGTTTATGAAATATAGATCGGTACGTTTTTGCTGAATCACCGTTATTAACAACTTTTTACTAGCCTGATTTAAGATCTTAGCGCTTCCTCGAATGTCTTTTTTAGTGGATATCTTGACACACGTAGGAATGAGATTATGATCTCTGCATCTCTTCAAGAAATTTAAAGCTGTTATGTATCTTGCGCGCTTGGTCTTTAGATCTTCTAATCGGCGTATTTTATTTGCTATTTCCAGTCCGTACTGGTTTACATAATGATTTCTTGTATTTATGTGAACACTACACATTGATTAAAACTACTTTTACGGATTTTATCGCGTTTATTTTACTATTATTTTTAATTCCCGACGTTTCGGGCGCTTTCCAGCACCCATGGTCACGGGGGACTGAGAAGATGACTGACGTCCCGATGTCATTGTTAAACCCGGAGTACCTTCAGCTTTTTTAATTATTGTTTATGGTACAAAATATCAAGATGTGCGCGTGGAGGCCCCGGCGTCTGCGTTGGCTTCGACAAAACCAACTACTTCGGAGAACGGCGCGAACGCTCCCGATGGGCACAACCTTACTACTGGAAGTCGATTGACTGAGATAGTCCCCAAGCGCCTCCCTCATTCAAATGTAGCTCTTATTGACGCGCGAGGCGAAATCTCTGCGCGGGATTCTAGTGTGAAATGAGATCAATTGGTAAGGGACTCAGAGTCGCAAATCGTGCGTAAGAAATCTGTAAAACGTTACAAGCTAATTGGACAGAGAGGCATTGCTCCCACTGCCCCTGACAGTAAATTTAAAGCGGCTGATGTGAAAGTGCCGCTTTTAATTTCAAATGTGAGTAAAGAAGCTAGTGTAAGTGACATCATTAGTTATATAAAAGAAAAAACAGATGAAAGTGTATTCTTGAAAAAAATTAATATGCAAAAAACAAAACAGTACAATTCCTATAAGTTGTATGTTTCAAAGTGTAAATTAGATTTATTTTTAAAGGATAATTTTTGGCCAAGTGGAATTACATTTAGGCGTTTTGTGAACTTTGTGCATAAGACAGAGGCGGTAGTTAAAGCTAGTCAACGCATTTCATAATGAGTATAAGTATGTCTGAAAACGTACAACGTGAGAAACGTAACAAACGTAGAGCGTGACAAAAAAGCAATTAAACCTTGGCTAGTTTTAATTGCTTTTTTGTCACGCGGTCTATAGATGACATACGGAACATTTGTGGAATGTCAGAGGTAGTCGCGCTTCAGGAGACATGTCTGCTCCCCCATGACGTTCCTCTATTAGGTGATATCTCCAGTGACTTTGAATACATAGGTAAGTCGGCTGTGGATACGTCTATTGGCTTATTAAAGGGAAGACCATACGGGGGGAGTTGCCATTCTCTGGCGGAAGGGCATTTTTGACAGGGTTACTGTGTTAGATTGCAGTAGTGCCCGCTTGATAGGTATAAGAGCTACTATAGGGGGAGCGCACTGTTGTCTTTTTCTCAGTGTATATGCCACTGACTCGTTAGACAACCTACCTATCTTTACAGGTGTGTTAGGTGAATTAAGCGCTATTGTGAAAGCGAAAATGTTAAGAGCATATTTATACTGGGTGCATTTTAATGCGCACCCACATGAACTGTTTTATAATGAATTAATTAGTTTTTGTTCTGATCAGAGTTGGATGTGCGCTGACATAGAAAAACTTGGCTTGCAGTCTAACGTGTACACCTATGTTAGCGCGGCGCACGGGTGCAGGCGATGGCTGGACCACTGTGTTGTCTCAAACTCGGCCTGGCAAACCGTTGTCGAAGTGGCGATTATAGAAGACGTCTTTGTGTCTGATCATTTACCTTTAATAGTTAAATATGACTTAAGGATTGTTAGGCCTAAATGGATAGCACGTGACTTGCATCCTAGCTCAGTAATATGGGGGGGAAAGAGATCAGAAACAAATATGTAATTATCACCCCCCAAGAAGAACTTTGTCAAAATAGACTATGCGAGATAGATTTCCCCTCG